ATTTGTTCATCTTTATTATAAGCTTCCGCTACGTCAAATAAGCAGTTCGAATTGACAAAGACTCAAATGATTGGTATTCTCAAATGAGCCTCCATCATCCGAGCATATTAAGAGATAAATCACACATGTTAAATACCAAAATATAAAGCAAAGATTTCACTGTTCCTCTTAATAAGGTTGAAATTTTAAGATGGAACCTAATTTTTAATGGCTTATGCATAAGAATCACAAAAACACATTATTATTTCACAATTTATCATATGAAGGTGAAGAGTTGTCATGTCACGCACCGTGACACAACCAGTTCTCCCAAAAGCTTTGCTACTGGGAGATTTGCAATTAAACAATTTATCACCCAAGAACATGCTTGAGAATCGATCATGAGTACTATTAGTTTAGACATTAATTTGAGAATCCCTTGAAATTTATGTCTACACTCATGTTGAAGCAATACTCTTGCATCAATTGATTCCAGTTCCTATTACTGCTTTGCTCATCGCATACTGGTTATAATCAGAGTAGGGTTATCTCTTCTTCCCTCCAACAATTCCAGGAGGCTTTCAGCATCTGCCTCCCGGGAGCTGATTTTTCACGTTCAGAAGGTTTAAATGCCCGTAAAGAAATCCTAACCCTAAATTTTCTGAACAAAACATCCCCGATCTGATTCATATATATCAATAATACACATGCATGAGTGCAATGAAAACAAGAACAAAATGAATATGAGAAAATTAAGCAGTCTTAACTATTAGTAGAATTTAATCAAGTACAAGAAATAAGAAAGAAAATTAATTTAATCAGCAAACTAGTACCCAAATGAGATAAAAGCTAGTAATTTACACGCAAATAATAGAGTTTCTAAAGTAAATTTGAAGTGGGTTTATGTCTAAAGAAAACCACAACTTCATTTGTCAGTGGGAAAATAACATACCAATCACAGCAAGGTGAATTTCCCTTTTAGTCCTCCTTTGTCTCCTTCAGAATTTGTGAGGGTAGCATATCTTCTAGAAGTCCATGGTCTCTGGCTAGAGGAGCTGCAGAGGGGTAAAATGGTCTTTCTTGATGAGGCCGGGGAAGTAACGGATTAGTATTGGTGAAACTCAAAGGTGGTGTCAAATTATGGAAATAGGGTTGCTGCTGAATTTGATGCTGTTGGTTTTGATAATGAATCACTTGAGGGATGGCAAAAGAAGAACCACCATCGCCACCACTACCACCACCACTGCAGATTCCGACTCCACCAAAAGTGGTGTTTTCTGGCATTATTCCGAAGCTTCCACGAGGCGTTATCGGACATGGGTGTGTGTGGGCACCCTCATAGGTTGTGACAACTACGGATGGATCCTCAGATGATCTTTCAACTCTTTTCTTCACACCACAAGCAGCACTAGTGCAACGATAATAACTCCTGCACAAAAAATTGCATAAGCCTACCAATTACTTTTAACAAAATCTACTCATAATCATTATCTTGATGTCACTTTTCACTCCCTTATCAAAATAAGCAAAAAAATCATTATAAGTGAAAAAGCGAAAATAAGCGCATACACAAGAATGTATCTGTAAGTGTGTGTATATACGCGTGTGTGGATATACCTTGGAAAGGGGCTGTTTTTCACTGCCTTTTGGCCGTACTTTCTCCATCTATAGCCATCATCCAAATTATCAATTTCACTCTTTGTCATGAACGCAAATCTCGGTTCTCTTTGCCTTTTTTGGTTCTTCTTTTTGGGTTTCAACCTTAAGTTACCAATAAAAACGTTAATTTTTATTTTTCTCTTAAACAAGAATATAAAAGACAAAATATGAGCATAATCAA